GACGACTTGTCGTCACCTCTGAGTGATCCAAGGTTATATGTTTACATCCCACCCCCCGTGGGTGTGGAATTTTTACAGGCCCCAAGCGAGAGTGAATTGGTATCTTCTCTTTTTTGGCTTGTTTTGTTTTGATAGGAGGATATTTACGACCCCCAGTGTAAAAATTTACTTGGGGTTCGTTCACGGGACCCAAGCGTTCCTTAACCGAAGCTTTGCCTCGGTCGTCAGATGAGGGACTGGGGCGATTCGCCATTGTGATCTTGGATTTTGACAGGTCAGGACTGACCCGTGGCTTCCTTGGTGATGGAACAGATATGGCTGTAGTAGACGGACCAAGAACGGATGTTGACGGGGCTGAAGGGGAACTCCTGGGAGCTTCTTCTGCCGCGGTTGAAAGCTATGCCGCGGCAGTGGAGACTGCCGCGGTCGAAGGATTTGCCGCGGCAGTGTACACTGTCGCGGTTGATGGATTTGCCGCGGTAGTCTACACTGTCGCGGTTGAAAGATGGGTCCTGCTGATCCAATTCTTGTACGAATTTGGATTTAGGGATCCACACTTTGCGACTTTCTGGTGTTTCCTTAGACACCATTTTCTTCTTCCCTTCTTGCGTTTGTTGACGAAGGGCACAGACACGAATAGCGTTTGCACGATGCTTCTGTATACGATCTTTGAGGGTCGAACGAGCCCTTTTGACGAGAGTCCATTCCTCCGTCGTGAGTTGTGCAGAGATATGAGTGGTTTGTCGTTGGGATGACTGGACCACTTGATGCTTCCTCGACTCTAGGTCCGCGTAGCAGTGAACCCCGTCGGTTTGTTCCAAGGCCTCAGCCATTTGACGAGCGCGACGTTGGTGTCGCCTCTGACGAGCCCTCTTCGTCAGAGTTGGCGAACTTCGATCGAACGACTTCTTAATTAGGGTGGAATCATTGTGAGCAAAGCTTCCGGCTTTGGGGGTCGCCGGGATAATGTTGCGAGGGGAGGCCTCGGCAACGATTGGATGAGAGTCTTCACTTTGTGCCTTCTTTGGCATGTAAGTATTCTTCAATGGTGAGATCCTCTTGTACTCGCAAGACAATGAAGATCTTGAAGAAGATGATGAGAGATATTCCTCAAACTTGGTTTGGTCGAACTCGTATTCGACCGTGGATTCAACTGGAATCTTGATCGGCTGCGACACGACAGTCTCGGTAGCGAGACCGTTGGCTTCCACTGTGGTCGCCAGTTTGTTTACGTCGAAAGTTGGTTTCATTGTGGAATTCATTATATCTTTGATCGATTACAACAAATTCGAAAGAGATAGTCTTTTTATAAGACTTCTTTTACACAACAAAATAAAAATTACAACTCTTGAGAAAATAACACAAAAATCGTTTATCGATTCTTGTTTTGTGGGACTTTGCCTGTGCCGGGAGTGCTTTGACTCGTGGACCACCGATTCACAGATTCTGATTGAATCGTGAAGGCTTTTAGATATTCTTCTTCGTTTATCGAAGTAAGAATCTTTAAGCGAATATCTTATCGATGTAAGATGTTCACTCTTCCAAAGATCAAGTCAGAGCTTAGGTCTCTAGGAATCGCCAAAAGCTTCTTGAGGATGTTTGTGAAGAAGGAAGACTCTCTCTCTTGCTCAAATTCACAAAAAAGCTTAAGTCTCTCTCCTTACTTGCTCCCCCCAATTTGCCCTTTGTATCAATGATGGCCCTAGGAGGGTATTTATAGTCTTCTTGGATGATAACTGGAGAAAATAACCGATCAGCAACTACCCCTTTGGGCGTGGCAGCCATAAGTGGCGTGGCTGAAGAGATTTCTTTGGCGCGGCAGTCATTGCTGGCGCGGTCAAAGGAGTGGTTCCCCCTGTTTTGTAACCACCATCTCACGACTTTTAACTCCTTAAATGTCACGATTTTTGTGGGTAGTGGGCATGATTTTCGCTTGTAACTACTTTCCCCACGTTCATAAGTAACCCACAGCAGTTAATAAGGTATGTGGGCCACACAAAACTTGAGAAAACTATCAAAAATGACGTGTTCAGCTTCTCAATGGCCGCGGCAGTGTACAGTGGCGCGCATTGCCGCGGCAGTTACCACTGCCGCGCACCTTCCGGGTATTTTGGCTCTAACTTCCTTATTCGATGTCGGAATGAGGTGATCTAAGATGCGTTGGAAATCTGACGAAGAGATCTACAACTTTTGTCTTTTGAGATTCTTCAGATTTGGATCATATCATGGCTTAAATGTGCAATACATTTCCGCGGCAGTCGCTGCTGACGCGCACCTCCGAAACCGTTCGCGCTGTCTCGGGTATTTTGGCTCTAACTTCCTCGTCCGATGTCGGAATAAGGTGATCCAAGATGCGTTGGAAAGCTAACGAAGAGATCTACAACTTCCCATTAGAGCTTCACTCTATTTGTTTGCGCATCACTTTTCACTGTCGCGCCTATGCGCGTCAGTGTACATTGACGCGCACCTCCGAGGCAGTTTACGACCTCTCGGGTATTTTGGCTCTAACTTCCTCGTCCGATGTCGGAATGAGGTGATCCAAGATGCATTGGAAATCTAACGAAGAGATCTACAACTTCCTATTGGCGTTTCACTCTGTTTGTTTACGCGTCACCTTTCATTGTCGCGCCTATGCGCGTCAGTGTTCCTTTGCTTATTTTAGCTTTGGATGATCCTCTTTGACTTAGATAATAACATTCATTATCTTCTCTTTGTTTTGAGCTATATCTAGATATCTATAAGTATTTTTAGATGCCTACACTCACCAATTAATCTCACCAACAAATCTCCAATTCTCTCCAAACAAAACCCTAACCAATAGCTAAGAAAAGACCTCTTTTCTGTGCTCCAAATATCCTCAATTTTCTTCTCAATTCTCTCTTCCAATTATTTTATATATATAAAAATCATAAATTCATAAACATACTAGGAATTTTAAAACAAAAAAACAAAACAGATTAGGAATCCTAATAACCTGTTACCAAAACAAATTTGGAATCATGTTACCAAAACAAATTAGGAATCCCAATAACCTGTTACCAAAACAAATTAGGAAACATATTAGGAACCTGTTATCCAACAATTCTCCACCTCGGCAATGTTTTTCCAAAATTGAGCCGACACCAATACCTGCCAAACATCTCACTTGTTACGTCCAGTACGAAGTGGAATAAATCCATGACAACGGACTCAATCCACAACAAGTCAAGAACTCAAATGAGAATACGAACAAACTCCAAATGCCAGTATCAACTCACCAAACCGGTTGCATCATAAATGACTACCTATGTATCCTCTTGCCCAAGGAATCAAGCATTCACGTAGTTTACCCAAATGGCCTCCAAAGGCCTTCAACCAAATAGAAAAGTTTGCAAGTCTTTACCAATATCACCAACGGATCTGCAACAGATAGCGCTCCCAAGTGCCCCAAACTGAAATAAATCAAACACCTCCACCTGAGGTGAACCAATGGCCGTATCCAAAACATGTCCACCAGCTACACTCGAATCCAAAATCAACTTATCATCTGCATCCAAATCCAAATGATCTCCAAACTATGACACCTCAACTAGAATCTTAAACGATGTAGTATGATCTAGAGTATGTGGTGTAATCTCCACCCAATGTGAAGTAGCATCACCCTTCATCCACTGTGATATCCTAATAATCTGATCAACACTCTCCACCTGCCGAGAGTCAAATGTGACATACTTACCCAGAACAAAATCAAAAGCTCCTAACTAATAATCAAACAAACCTCTGAATCCCAAACGCGCAATCGGATCAAATCTCACATCTTCGATATGACCAAATGCTGGGCAACCAAATATCCGACGCAACTCAAAACCAATGCTCGATAATCAACACCGATCCACCAGATCCAAAATCTCCACACGCAGCAGTCGGCAACCTATGACCAAGATGACCCAAATATGTCGAAGCTCCAAAACCAAAACCAATGCTCGATAATCAACGCCGATCCCCCTCTAGTAATGAATGACCCATCAAAACTGTCATCTCATCTCGTCGCCCTAATGTCTCCACATCAATGAAGTGTCTCAAACTGCCATGAGCTCGGCACAAATGCAAGAAAGAACCCCTACCAAAGCTAGGATGACGGGTTACCTTTCTTCTAATACATTTCTTCCAATTGTTGTTGACTTCTAGGACTTCACACCAATGGGACCTGGTTACAACCCATCAATGCCTAGAACAATCCCCAACTGTAAAAACCAAATACCGATTACCTCTCAATGATGCCTCATTGGAAGGCCCCTAAATATCCCTAATTTTCTTCTCAATTCTCTCTTCCAATTGTTCCATATATATAGAAATCCTAAAATCATAAACATACAAGGAATTCTAAAACAAAAAACAAAACAGATTAGGAATCCTAATAACCTGTTACCAAAACAGATTTGGAATCATGTTACCAAAACAGATTAGGAATCCCAATAACTTGTTACCAAAATAAATTAGAAAATATATTAGGAACCTACTATCCAACACTTACAACTGAAAGTCAATAGTGGCATTAAATATATCAAAGTGGTAATGGTGTTTAGCGGTGATACACTAGTAGAAAATCAAATATTCTAGACGGAATATTCTAGACGGAATTTTTTCCGTCTAGAATGTATTAAACTAGACGGAAAATTTCCGTCTAGAATATTCCGTCTAGAATAATCATTCTAGACGGAATTTTTCCGTCTAGAATGATTATTCTAGACGGTTTTTTTATTTTTTTTATTTTTTTAAAATAACCAGGTATTCTAGACGGAAATTTCCGTCTAGAATAGTATCCTAGACGGAAATTTCCGTCAAGAATACATAGACCAGTTTTTTTAAAAAAATTCAGCCAATAAACCCGCGAATGCCTTCCTTTCCCCCTAAAACGAATAATTCATCCCCAAATTTGTTTTCATTTCAGGAAACCCCCTCCTACTCCTCCCTCCACCGCGTCCCCCTCCTCTCCCTCTCCCTCCTCAACCTCACCCCCTACCCCTTTCTCCCCCTCTACTCTCTCTCCATCCATGGCCTCCACCACCTCTCCCGCCTCCTCTTATTGGGAAGTGACGTCATCGTCGAAGGAGGAGATCGGGATCGTGGGGACCTGCTGCGGGCGTCGGCAGAGATCCTCGAGGAGGGGACAACGGTGGTCGTCATTAGGCTGAAGGACGTGGGGGATTTGAAGTATTTGGGTATGTATGCAGGGATCGTGGGTGGGAAGAATTTTGAGGAAAGATCAAATTTTGATGGGGGATTCAACAAGCTTGGAGTTGCAAGAATCAGGGTAGGAAGAACTGAGGAAAGAGGCGCGAAAGATCGAGGACATGTACTTCAAGTTCGGGCTCCCCCTGGACACCAGGAGGGTGTTCGACGAAATGCCTCTTAACCAGAAATTTGGGGTCGAGGCTTTCTTGTAGTAGAAGGATTTATTCTCTTTGCTGCGTCTGTGAAGATTTTCCCTTTTTGTTTTGAAAATTTTATTTATATGTGGATTATTGAGTAATTTGTATATGATGTGCATTTTTCAGATCGAAAACCAAGAGATGCCTGGTCTCAGCTTCAAGACTCATCCTAACATTAACCTAGTGTAAGGTAGATAGATGGAGAATGGAGGTAAAGTTGATGTTTCCTTTTTGCAAATGTAAATAGATTCTAAATTCTGATTCTTTGCTTTCTTTTTCATAACCTTTTTTAGCTGAAGATGAATTAGATAGAAAGGACGATGTTTTTGGACAGGAACATTGAAGTAGAGATTTAAATTTTCACTGATAAATTGGTCAGGTGGGAATTGTTTTTTATTTAATTTGTCAAAAATGGATAATGATACCATACGTACAACATTCAAGGTATGAAGATGATGGGTGTAAGTAATGCGAGTTATCTACCTAGACAGACAAAAAAACCACACCATTCCCAATTTCTGCGTAGACGCATGAAAGTGAATTGTTATATATACAAATCTAAATATCCAGTTTATGCTTGTGTCATGACTGATTCTGGAGCTCAGAATTTTAAGATTGAATTAATCACATATTCACATTAAGGACATGTATGTGGCTTTTTATGGAACTATAGAAGGTATTCTGTCATCATTGACTGTGACTTAAATGGAACTGCCAAAAATATTGCATAGAAATTTTGTAGTTGAATGATTAATCTAGAACAAGGAGTCAACAAGAAGTTGTTGGCTTGAAATTACTTGATTAATATTCTTTGTTGCTATTGCCATTACTGTTAATGATTATCTTTTATCCAGATTAACTATTATCTTGTTTGTCTTCAAAATTGTATTCAATTTTAAGGGGTGTCGACTTGGTCAATTATAGGTTGATGTTGCAATTATTGAAGTTGGACTTGGTGGTAGGTTAGACCCGACAAATGTGGTATGTATCTATCTTACTTCCATAGTGAATTAGCCTACTTGAATTTCTTTTCTTTTATGAACTAGAACTGCGAATATCCTGGGGAATAAGTGTGCATTGACCCTATTTAGGAACAAATGCATAGTTAAAAAAGGTCGAGTTTTTGACCCCTCTGGCATGAACCTGAGTGGAGATGAAAGGGATGCATTCTTGGTTTCAACCCTAGCTCTAAGGCCCTATGATCACCCATAAACATTCATGAACCATCAATCAATTCACACTCAAAGCCGCGGCCACATCCGCACGTCCAATCAGCCTCCAATCACTAAGAATCGACACCACCATACACAGATTTTTGCCCATTTTGAATGCAGTAATATTTTGCACTTGAAATGCTTGTTTAGATCTGCATCCATTAAAGATCACCTACCGTATCACGCTATCTTGAAAGTTTTAATACATATCCCTTGTATGTATAATATCTTTCTTCCTGGAGGTAAATTTCTTTTCATAAATAACTTATAAGTATAAGGTGTAAAACAGTTAGCATTATGCCATTATCTTTAATGGAAAAAGCAATTAGGATGGCCTGAATCAAACATAAAATATGAGGAATGCGTAGTTGTTGACAAGATTTCTTGAGTATCCATTACATGCTACTTTTATTCAAATAAATTGTCAATGCATCTTCAAGTAAATCAAAGTTTAGTTATGAAGTAATCTAAGATGCCTAAAAATGTCAATATGAACTAGAATGTTGTGCATTTGAGACTATTTTAATGCTAAAAAATCTATATTTAATGTATTAACACTAGCAGATCGTTATGTTGCTACTGAAAGACCATTCTTGATCCTCGAGGAACTTGACTAATTTTAGTAAAATGATTTGCATAAGCTTTATAAGCAACCCCCTCGGTGAAAGTCATGATGCGTGGTTGTGATATAGAATGAGAAATTGTCCCTCACTGACTTATGATCTCTTTGGTTCATGAGAAATTGTTTCTCCCCAAATCTTTGTTCTGTAGTGCATATTAATCTTGGAAATGCAACAATACATTATACACCAATGTTGCATATTACTTGTAGAAGTTTGAAACACAATATATTGTGCACATTTTTGTAAATAAGGAAGTATTCATCAAAACCAGAATGTTGCAAGTAGCCAGCGAAAGTCATGATGCATGCTTGTGATATAGGACGAGAAATTGTTTCTCATGAACCATTTTGTGCCATCCTCTTGTAAAGTGTTTTTTAATTTATTTGCTGAAATTACTGAAGGCCTTGATAGTATGATGAATGCATTATCTATTTGATCAATCTGTTTCCTATCGTTACTTGATTAATTTGGTGTTCACTGCAATTAAGTGAATGTTATTGTCAAACCCCCAATGTAATTCGTTGTTAGATCTATAACGTTCAGTTATTCACCCTTTTCTTCTTTTTTCCTTAACTTTGAGAGGTTGGGCAATATAGTCACCATAAATTGATTGAGAACATGAAAAGTACTGCTGAAATTTGATTATATATTAGTTCTTTAACTAGGAGTTATTTGCTTGCAGGTGAAGCTGGTATGGTATTATAACAATGCACTTGGAAGGCCTAAAAAGAAGAAATTCATAGCTCGTGCAAAATCGTATGCTAATTAGATTGCTGCAGTATTTTTTACAAAGAAATAGTAGTGCGCAATGGAAATTTAGTATGCTTAATAATATTAGAACATATCCTTAAACTTGGGAGTTGTGATGATTTCTTTCTTTATAATGTGAAACAAGGCTCAGAAGGAAATGGCGTCTATTAGTTCATGGGGAGAACTCAAAGCAGGCATCTATAGAAGCTGAGATGAAAAAGTATGAGGTGAGAAACTTGTTCAACTCATTATGAACCAAGCAATTGATATTTCACATTTGGTCTTAATACTTACCATGCTTGTCCCTGGAGCTAAAATTGTTCCTGCATATATACACACATTTTGAGATTAAGTACCTCATCGCACGCTCTTTGAATATTAATTGTTTTGGGTACAGGAACTCTCCATTTTACTATTCTTGGTGGAACACTATTCCTCAAATTGTTCCTGCTGGATTCATCTACTAATTGATTTAGATAATAGCTTGTACTAAGAAATATGATACTCTACTTCGATAACTCCTTGCCTTATGCATAACCGTTCTTCATTTTGCAGCATTTCTGGCTATTATGAGGCATTCTGGATGGAGTTGGATGGTGTCAAGCAAATCTGGAAGAACAGAAAGCAAATCTGGAAGAACAGAAAGGAACTCAAATAGATTATTAATCATGTATCGATGAATTACATTCTTTCCTAGCAGTGTCAGCCATTGCAAATAATTTATGTAAACGTTTGTAAATAATTTATGTATCTCTCTACTATTTTGGTGAATGTATTATTTGAATATAATTGGATTTGATATTGGAATTAATTAGATTGTGTTGGATATGAATATAATTTTTTGTTGTTCAATATTGTGTACATACACTCAAAGTAGATTCTGCAAAAAAAAAAAAAAAAAAAATTGTTGTTCAATATTGTGTACATACACTCAAAGTAGATTCTGCAAAAAAAAAAAAAAAAAAAAAAAAAAAAAAAAAAAAAAAACTACTGTAGCATACTATTCTAGACGGAAATTCCGTCTAGAATGCTTAAATTCCATCTAGAATACTTTTTTAAAAAATAAAAAAATAAAAAAAATTAAAAAATCAAATTCCGTCTAGAATGAGATTCCTAGATGGAAATTTCCGTCTAGAATACTTATTCTAGACGGAATTTTTTTCCGTCTAGGATAAATTATTCTAGACGGAAATTCCGTCTAGAATAATCCGTCTAGGATGTATTCTAGACGGTTTTGAATTCCGTTTAGAATATTCCGTCTAGGATGTATTCTAGACGGAATTTCCGTCTAGAATACTACATACTAGACGAAAATAAACTAGACGCGTATTCTAGACGGAATTCCGTCTAGAATACGTATTCTAGACGGAATTTTGGGTATCCTAGACGAAATTTTCCGTCTAGGATGCCTCAATTTTTAGCAGTGATACAATCTAGTCTACGACAACTTCGACCTTCATAATATGAACCATCCAAATATTGAACAACAATCTCATGATTGGAGCAAAAAATCATCACATTATCAAGGAAAGAATCGTACTCATCATCTCTCAAGGTTTGAATCAGTGACATTGTACTTGACACTAAACGCATTGCATTCACAATATCCTGAGATTTTTCCTTCAAAGTTTGGCAAAGAACATCAATAATGCTCATAATTTCTTTCATCAGATGAGCAATAAAACTATATTCGAATGATCTAATCTTTTTCAAAGCTGCACTAGCACCTCCTTTTATTTTATAGTGAGCATAGTCATTTTTTATATTTTCAAGAACAATACAAGTTGTATTATATATCCTGGGAATGCTGCAAACTGAAGAAAAGTAAGAGCTCCAACTAGTATCACCAATTCGTTTTAAAGTGCATATTTAATTAAGACCTCTTCCTATCTCTATTTCATCAATGGCTAGCATGTGTGTAATCTCATCTATTTGAGCAGCTTGCAACTCATCGTGACGCTTAGAAGAGGCATCAATTACAATAATAATAAAAGTCAAAATCTTGAGAAAACTCATGAACATCATTTACCTCTCTTGTAGCTGTCATTAACACCAATTTTAGTCGATGAGCCATACAATGGATTTTATATGCAATAGGATAATCGTTAAGAAAAAGTGTCTGCAATCCTCTCCATTCACCACGCATGTTGCTAGCCCCATCATATTCTTGCCCCTGAAATTTTGAAGATCAAAACCATAATGTGAAAGAATGTCAGATAGTTTAGAGAACATAGTGGCTACTGTAAAATCCTTGATATGGGTAAGATCAAAAAATCGCTCTCTTACACAACTTGCACCATCGACAAAACAAAACACAAGAGCTATCTGTTCTCCCTTAGTTGTATCCGATTCATCAATAATTATGCAAAACTTAGATTCTCCAATCTCTTCACAAATGAATTTTCAAACTTTATTTTCACAAACATTCAATATCTCCTTTTGAATTAAAGGAGAAGTATACTTTGTATTAAATAGAGCATTTTCTAAAATAATACTAGCCACATCTGGATTATATGATATTCTGTATTTGAGCAACTCAATGAAATTACCTCGATTGCTTGAATAAATGCTCTCATCATGACCTCTTAAAGCACACCCTTACAATGAAAGCTAACAAATAGCATTAATTGAAGTTTTGACTTGAAATATATTCTTCTCAATTTGTTTAGTTAATTACCTCTCCACAACTAGATTGATTCATTAAGGCTACACAACATTTTAGAGCATTATTATGTGAAGAACATGGATCTTCACATATATGTTTGAGAAAGCACATCTTTTGCCACTCTTGACTTTTTCAAATTTCTAAATCCAACAATTGTATATGCATCATATCAACTTTGCATAGTTAGTCTCTCAGTAAAAAGATAATAATGAAAATAAAATGCCGCATCTTTTTCAGGAGAATACTCAAGACAATGAAACTCATAAACTTGAAATTGGTGTGGATGTTTTTTTGGTCCAAACAATGGAAAACTACCGAGCTTAGGTTGGTAAGCACCGAATCTCAAATAAGCTCTCTTTATCTCATCATGTTTATTCACTGAATATCCCTACATAGGTTGGCATAATCCTAGATCACGTTCTATAGGAGCAAAATTTGGATTGTCAACTCTTGGCGATTGAGAAATATGCATAATTCCAACTAGAGAAGATTCTAAATTTGAAGGTAAATTAATAACCACGCTGATACTACTTTCTTTACTTGATTCAACTTTTTTTCTAAAAATTGAATGAAGTTTCTTTTGTTTGCCAGGCATATTAAAAATGACACACGGATAGAATCAAATAATCATTTACATCTAGGATTTACAAATAAACTAATAAATATAATTAAATAAATAAATCACATAGGAGTACAAACCAATAATTAAAGATAGACACATATTGCTCAGAATTAAAAAAGTGAATATAAAGGAGAAGACACGTACCTTTAGAGTTTAGAAGATACACCACACCTTGAAAATTGAGAAGAAAAACCACAATTTGAATCTACAAGTTGATTTGTTGAGTCAAATTTAATATGATTTTCTAGAAAATCACAAAATTAACTGCACAAAAAAAATCCAAACACCGCCAAGAATTCTGCACGCTTCATATAGGTAGGTGATTTGGTTTGATTATAAATGCAAGATTATTAATATTTGATCCAACCCCATTAATTCATACATGTCCTTTGGGGTTCTCATCTCATGGGCTTTGGGTAATTGGGCTTAAAGGTTAATAGTTTTCCAATGGAGAAGACCAATGAAGTGCTGTTAGTGTTTTTTTTTGGGGTGGGGGGGCTCATGTAGTGGGCTTAGAGTGCTCCGCCCCTATGTATAATGCATCATTAGTAATAATATAGATACATCTTTCTCAATATATGCCAGCAAATGTTGAGACAATCATCACTTTTGTAACTTCTGTCCATTCTTAATATATAAGAAATTTGTTGGTATTAATGCACACAAAGTGTAGTAGAAATACTGAAACACAAACATAACATATGAGACATTAGGATTTACGTGGTTCAGCGCCACAATTTGCTTTCATTGACAAAAAAGAAATAAGAGATTCATAATCACTCAATTAAATTACAGATGTGAGAATAAAACTTATAATAATTCTCTAATTTCCAAAATATCACTCACTAAAGAACAAGGGGTCGCTTTGGCTTCAATAGAATTTTCATCAAACCCTTGGTTCTCTATCCAATTTTGAAAGTTAAGTGGACCCCACATGTAAGTTTTCATCACAAACAGATTGCATTCGTCCACTTCTCAACTGGTAAAGGAACATATTTATAGATTGTGGGCTAGTTTTAATAGTTGTACCAAGTGAAAATTAATACATCAACAATAGAATCCCATGGAGGAAGTGGTGTCATGGCACCACTTCCTCCAACTTAGGTTCGCCATTGGTCCAAACGAAAACTTCCGACTAAACTATTATCAAATTAATTAATGTCTCCAGCTCACTCACTACCTAATGTTCCCCACAAAGCACCCAACATTTCCCATCAGAAAACATAAACATGCTCTAGAAGAGGTGCTTAATCCTCGTGAAAAGAAACATCAATCTCTAACAGTCGGTTTGGATACAAAGGAAGGGAAGTGAGGAGAGTGATTTAACTTAAACCCTAAGAGCAAGTACAGCAGCCTCCCAAGGAGGCTCCTAAAGGTGATGTGGCAAGGGAAAGTTCCCAACATGTTCCAACAAGCTCCTAAGGAGGCTCCTAAGTCCTAGTTTTGACGGTGGGGTCCACCATGGAGCTCCTAAGAGCTGTACAAATTTATGGAGCACTTAGGAGCTCCTAAGGGGTGGGGGCCCACTAAAAAATATTTTTTATTAGATTTATTATTTTAAAATATATTTATAAAATGTTAGAGGTAGAAGAATGGATTTTTAAAATAATATTAAGCTCCTAATTGGAAGTTTATTGGAATATTTCTCCTAGTAGGAAGCTCCTAAGTGGGCCCCATGATTGAGAGCACTCCAACAAGAGCTCCCTACTAGGAGATTGCTGCACTTGCTCTAAGAGGATGGAGTAAAAAGGAAAAGAGTGGAATATATTCATTTGTGTTTGGATAGATAATGAGGGGATGTGAGGATACCCTATAATATGTGTTTGTTTAGAGGCTATTTTGTTCAAGCAAATATTTGGCATTTGGTGTGGATTACAAATTTTGGGATTAAAAAGTATTTTTTTTTGTTTTTGGGATTCCATATTTAGTGTTTATTCCAATAAATTTTTTGAAATGTTGAATCCCAAAATGTAAAAAACACCCAATTTTTAGAATATGTCAAATTCTCTTAATTGGAGAGGATTTGTCAAATCTTATAAATGGGTATACTTATCTCTCTTTCTATATCCTTGTATTTTATTTCCTTGTGGGAGGTAACCTCACCAAGGTAAGTATATTTACTTCTTTTTCATTTTAGAATATGGTATCTTATAATCTGGGTTTGAACCAAATAAGATATTACAAATTTTAAGATTTGCTTTTCTATAATAATATCAAACCAAACAAAATATTAGAAATCCCAAAGCATGTATAAAACCCTATGGATTTAAAAATTTTCATGAGATTACATTAATCCTAAAATTTTGATATTTGAACCAAACAGCCCCTTAGAGTAGGGGATGAGAAGGGAATGGAAGCCACTTGACGAGCATGTCCTTTTAGTAAAATAAGAAAGAACGCCTTTTGGTTTTCTCATATAGGACAATATTGGAATTTTAAGAAAATTTCACTTGAAACCGCTCCCTTCCCTACTCAATCCGTCCACTTTTGGAGGGTTGAGAAAGTGATTAAA